TGTCTGGGGAAAGGGGGGCACACCTCATCAACAAGGGTCTCTGCACAATGAATATTTGTATACCTAACCCTTAACTGTACCCCACTATTTTATTTTATTTTATTTTATTTTATTTTATTTTATTTTTTTGAGTTGAAGTCTCACTCTCACCCAGACTGGAGTGCAGTGGCCACTCCCAGCCACCGCAGCCTCGACCTGCTGGGCTCCGGCGATCCTTCTGCCTCAGCCTTCCAAGTAGCTGGAAGTACAGTGTACACTACCATGCCTGGCTGGTTTTTGATTTATTGTAGAGATAAAGTCTCGCCAAGTTGCCCAGCCGGGTCTCGAACCCTCAGGCTCAGGCAATCCACTCACCTCAGCCTCCCAAAGCACGGGATTACAGCCTGAGCCACCGAGCCCAGCTCACAATTTTAAAATAAAAAATATATTAAAAAAAAGCATGAACCACTGTATCCAGCGTTGGCTGAATTTTTAAACTTAATTTCTTAGCAACATTCAGGTAGTGTAAATCCAAACCCTATTACCCACTTGATACTGTGGTAATGAATATTCAGGAGACCTCTGCTGCTCCTATGTAGGTCTAGTGCCCAGGCCAAGACAGAAATGCTTCATTGTCTTATCCTTTCTCTTGTGTAACCTTTTTTTTTTTTTTTTGAGTTGGAGTCTCACTCTGTTGCCCAGACTGGAGTGCAGTGGCTGCTCCCGACCACCACAGCCTCGACCCACTGGGCTCCGGCGATCCTTCCGCCTCAGCCTTCCAAGTAGTCGGAATTACAGGTACGCGCTACCATGCCCGGCTGATTTTTTTGATTTATTGTAGAGATGAGGTCTCACCAAGTTGCCCAGGCAGGTCTTGAACCTGCGGGCTCAGGCAGTCCACTCACCTCAGCCCCCCAAAGCGCGAGATTACAAGCTGAGCCACCGAACCCGTTTTGTGTAACCTTTTGAGTATCCAGCTTTATGCACTGATTTTTTGCTTCCAACTTTGCAAGTTAAAATCTAAATGCCTAGATTACTAAGACTAATGGTCTCCTTCTGCCCCAGGATAGCTGCAGGTTTGCTTATGTGAGCTCAAGTGCTCTCTGCTCTGTGTTTCTGGCTCCTGGAAAATTTTACTTTGTGCATTCATCTATGCATTTAAAAATGTGTGAATTAGTCTGGGCGCAGTGGCCCAGCTTGTAATCCAGCACTTTAGGTGGCCGAGGCAAGTGGATTGCCTGAGCCCGCAGGTTTGAGACCAGCCCAGGCAACCCGGTGAGACCTCGTCTCTACAATATAATTTTTTTAAAAAGCCGGGCTTGGTGGCTCAGTCTGTAATCCCGCACTTTGGAAGGCTGAGATGAGTGGATTGCCTGAGGCCGTGGGTTCGAGACCCGCCTGGGCAACTTGGTGAGACTTCATCTCTACAATAAATAAAAAAATCAGCCGGGCGTGGTAGCGTGTGCCTGAAATTCCGGCTACTGAGAAGGCTGAGGCGGAAGGATTGCTGGAGCCCAGCAGATCGAGGCTGCAGTGGCTGGGAGCAGTCACTGTACTCCAGTCTGGGCGACAGAGTGAGACTCCAACTCAAAAAAAAGAAAAAAAAAAAATAGCCAGGCGTGGTCGCACGCATCTGTAGTTCCAGCTACAGGGAAGGCTGAGGCAGAAGGATCGCTAGAGCCCAGAAGGTCGACGCTAGGGTGACCTTGAGTGTACATGCCACTGCACTCCAGCCTGGGCGAAGTAGTGAGACTCCAACTCAAAAAAAAAAAGTGTGAATTATATTTTATTCAGCATCTAGTGTTGTCAGGTTACTTAGTCCAACATATTGCCTGAACTGCAAATGTATGTTTTTATAATTAAAAATGTGCATCTTTTTGCAGATTAAATAGCGATGTCTAGAAGTAAATATACTAAAATGATAATCTGTTATCTCATTGCAGAAGCCAAGCATTATTTAAGTTTTGACGTACTTCTTTGAAATTGACTCATTTTATCTGTTAATTCCTGGACCAACAGGATTAAACCTACTTATTCTTCAGAAAGGTGAACAGACTATCTTGAGAATATTTAAAATGTCAGGTTCCCATGGAGTGTCTTTGCTTGATTTTCTTTCAGCCAGCAAATACTGCAAACTGTTAGTGGAAGAAGGCGGATTACAGCTTTTGTGTGACATCCTGGAGCACACTGAGGCAAACCCCCAAGCACAGCAGATTGCAGCCTCCATTCTCGATGACTTCACAATGCATTTCCTGAATTTTCAGAGACCCTCCTCTGTGTGAGGTGGTCTTCCTAACCTAACGGGCTTCAGAGGCATACTCTCTGTTCCTCAGCATCAGGTCTTCTGGCCTGGCAGTAATTGGATGTTGAAATCGGTGGTTGTTGGAGTTTGTCAGTTGGCTGTTTCATTGCCCTTTTATTGTTGATTTTCTGTAAGTTACATAAAGGTTGAATTTGTTTGCTAGCCAGTATCCCAAGTCGAGGTGGAGTGATTCTGGGGATACCCTTCAGCAGCAATTTTGAAGAATCAAACCATAGATTCTGGGAATACTTGGGAGCTTGTGTTGGAATAGCTATGCCAGTTATTTTTCTCTAGGCCTAGACAATTTGTTCATTTTAGGAGCTTGTCAGGGAAGCAAGGCCTCTTGACCCAGAAGTAGAAAGGACCTATTGAGAGGTCTTGGTATTTGTTAAATTTCCTGAGTTCTTATTCAGAGCTATGTGAAACTACGGGAAGAGAAGTTGGGAAATATATGTTTATGAATATGTTCTTTAGAAGGCAGAACCTCCCTTGGAGGATGAGAGAAAAGAAATTTTTTAAAGAAATATTTATTTGTGTGTGTGTGTGTGTGTGTGTTTCCTCCCAGATACCCAAGAACTTTTCCTTTGAGGGGTGGAAGAAAGAGAAATAAATTTTTTACAGTTTTGCATTTTCTATCTTGGCCTTTTTCCCCGCAACTTGACAAGTTAAACTGAGTGAGCATAACATTCTGTATACATGGATGAGCAGGTGGGGCATGGTGGGACTTAGGCTTGAGGAAAGTGTTTAGATGAATAGATAAAAGATTATACGGAATGATGAATCTCCATTCCTCAAAATTTTACTTGGGTGAGACTGACAAAAACGGGAGGAAGTAGACAGCCAGAGGAAGACTTTGCCAAGCATTTCAAGGAAGTGTTCTTACCCAGGATGGAGATAGAAAAACACAAGCTTTTCTGAGAACCAGCCTTAACTGCAATATGGACTCCATCAGAAGCTTTTTTTTATTTGGAGTCTCACTCTGTCGCCCAGGCTGGAGTGTAGTGGCACACAGGTGGCCACTGTAGCCTCGACCTGCTGGGCTCAGGGACTCCTTCTGCTTCAGCCTTCCAAGTAACTGGAACTACAGGTATGCACTACCATGCCCGGATAATTTTTTTATTTATTGTAGAGACAAGGTCTCACCAAGTTGCCCAGGCTGGTCTTGAACTCCTGGGCTCAGGCAATCCTTTCGCCTTGGCCTCCCGAAGTGCTGGGATTACACGCTTGAGCTGCCACGCCTGGCCTCATCAGAAGCTTTTTCTATGTCTTCTGCAAAGCTGCTCTTAGGATAGAGTATGGACCCCTTCTTTGCCTCATTATTGATTATTAATGAATATGTTCTGTCATTTACTTGTTTAAATTTAAGTTTTTCAGAAAACAAAATAAATTCTTGCTTATTTTAGTGTATTTTAGGACTAATTTTTTCTTATTTCCCTGGCTTGGTCCAGACTTTTTTTTTGTTTTTTGTTTTTGAGTCGGAGTCTCACTCTGTCGCCCAGGCTAGAGTGTAGTGTCACACTCATGGGCCCCACAGCCTCGACCTGCTGGACTTGCGCAATACTTCTACTTCAGGCTTCCAAGTAGCTGGGACTATAGGTATGCGCCATCACGCCCGGCTAATTTTTTAATTTATTGTAGAGATGAGGTCTCATCAAATTTCCCAGGCTGGTCTCGAACCTGTGGACTCAGACAATCCTCTTACCTCGGCCTCCCAAAGTGCTGAGATCGTAGGTGTGAGCCACCACGTCCAGCTGGTCCAGACTCTTAACTGGAGTGCTGTGTACCATCTTTTGGAATCAAATGAGGAAGAAATTCATTCTTACTTATCTAAACTATGTTCCAAAAAACGATTACTAGTGTTTAACTAGAGAAGCAGAATTTGTAACATATTTTCTTCCATAAACCTTGGATTGTACTCTATTTTCTCACACCCTTCTGCGTGATTCTAAAAAAGGTATTTTGGTTTACTGACCTGGGTTCCAGTACCTCAGAGTGTTGTGTAAAAGATGGTAGCGTTTGCTAATGTGAGGATCTGTTGGGGACACCAGCATGTCTGTACCAGGCCCCCTTTCGAGTTTTGCCTCATTTACAGCCATCCTCATGGGTAGGTAAGTTTTATTCTCATATAACAGATGAGAAGGAGAAGGTTCAGTAAGGTTGTTACTTTCCTGAATTGTCTTAGCTGGTGTGGTTTGTGTTGATTGTAAGGCCTGAGTTTGTCTGTAACCCAGGATACAGGCATAACCTCGAGGGCACATTTTTATTTAGCAACAAATCAACAGTGCTACTCGTATGTGTCCATGCCTGTGGTTTAGTGACTGTAGGCCAGGGCTAGCCTTAGCTTAGCCAGAACTCAGATACGGTTAGAACACGAGCACAAGGCCATAGCTTAAGATGCAGCCTTAATACAAAAGGAGGGAGGGGTATTGAGACTAACATGGCTGTGTATTAGCCCCTTCCTTGTTTCTGTGTGTGTCATCCTCCTCTTCACCCTTGCTTATGCTGTTCCCCTCAGGTTTCTTCTGCTTTGCTTCACATGTGTGTGAATCCAGGCTTCAGTTCCAGTGCTACTTGCCCATTCCCTGATCCTCCCTTCTCAGTGCTCCTGAAGGCCATCAGAGATTTTCTTGCCATCCTGTAGTTTGCAAAACATTTTCACAGTGATGATCTCATTTGTTTCTCTCAAGATTATTCTAAATTAACAATTATAACACATTTATTGAACATGAGGTGTATTTATTTATTTAATCTTTACAACAGTTTCATTTTGCAAGTGAGAAAGCTAAGGCCTAGAGAGTTTAATAAGCAATTTGTCCTAGGTTGTTGGCAGAGAGCTGGGGTCTGCAGTCTGACTCCTGATATGTGTTCAGCCAATACCAGAGTTTACCTATTCTCTCTATTGTCCAGAGACAGAAACTGGGAGTAACTTAAATCTCTTGACATCTCTAGTAAGAGCCTGATAACAGAGAGGTCAGGACCTAAAGCCAGTGATACAAAGACAAAGGGGTCTGTTTTAGTGTCTATCATTGGAGTAGGGAGAGATAAGCATTCTCTGACAACAAACCCGGCACTAGCGACTAGCCAGGGTGAGGATAAGGAAGATAGGCAGTAGGTGGTATGGTGAGCACCTAGGTACTAGGCATCGTGCCAGTCATCTTACATCTATCATCATCCTATGAAGAAACTGACACCCAAAGAGGTGAAACGATGAGGGTGGGCCTGCTTCAAATTTTCCTTCTGGTTCCTTCTCTTTGAGGCATTCATCTCCTGTACTGAAGGTTAAATGGAGGTCACTCGCCAACAAATTTTGGGGGTCGCTTCTCCCTGAAGGCTGCCATGCCCTCCAGCCGGTCTCGGGTTGGGATGTTCTGCAACAGTGTACAGAATTTTAGTTTTGGGGGAGCAGGACCAGAGGCCAAAAAAACGTTGCTCAACAAACTTTGTCCAGCCCATGACAAAGCCAGGCTCCAAGTGTTTCCATTGTGTCTAGACTCTGGTGTTTGAGCCAAGCAAAGGTATACGCCTCAGTATATTCTTGGTTTTCTGGGGAAGCCATGAGCTTCTGCTTGCATGTTGCTTTCACGACTCCACAACACTCCCTGCCCTCCGCTGCAGTCTGATAGGAGGCTGCTTGACTGCAATTAGGCTTTGCAGCAAGAAATCTGGCTGTGAATCAAGGTGTATAGCTGGTTCACACTAGATTCTACAAGTTCCAGGACCCCTTACTTAGAAGTATTTTGGATATTCGTTAGCCTGGAGATTAGCATTTTTTATTTATTCAGGTATCAGAGACTGAACAGGTCAATCCCAGGCTTACAGCCTGGCCTTTATACTGACTGGTACAGGAACAGCAGAAGCTATTCTTCCATTTTCTCAAGTACCCGTGTATTCTGTGATTCTGGGCACCAAGTATGCAGGACATCCCTCCATACATTAGATGGTTGAGGAAACAGTCCAGAGAGAAGCACTGTGGCTCTCCTTGATCCACTCCCTGTTAGCCAGGAGGGGGTGGCGTGTAGTCAGACTGTGGGTTGGGAAGAACCTTTTAAATCGGCCATGTGCTATATAAGGTCCCCCCACTCTGGCCCAGTCTATGCTAAGAAGTAGGCATGGCCTGACAGCAGCCACTTACCTGGGCATAGCACATCCCTTCAATGGCCATCCCTGATGCAATGTCCACCTGCAAGAAAGAAGTGCTTCTTGGGTCAGCCTGACCTTGTCCGTCTCCACCCGAACTGGGAGCTATCTTGCCCTGTTGCCTACATGAGTTGACATGAGCAGTGATGGCCGTAATAAAGGAGCTCTTTACTGGAGAAGGAATACATTCACACAGTGACAGAACAGTGTTGGGAGAATGGGGTTGTGAGAAGAGTGGGGATCCATCCAGCCCATAGAGCTGAGGTGTTCCACCAGAGGATGGGAGCAGAGTCCAGCCAGTGTTCCTCCTTCCCACTTGGCTGCCTTACGATGCCTCCTGCCACTCCCGTTAGTTAACTTTGCTAGCTTCCACTGATCCCAGGAAGAAGGTCCTGGGCCTTATGACCTGGCCCCTGGCAGTTTCTCCAGTGCCAGGTCCCAGTGCTTACCAAGACTAGTACCAGCACTGTTCTAAGAGAAGTACTGTGTGTGTGTGTGCATGTATGTGTGTGGAAACGTACTTTTCACAGCAAGGGTTCTCTCTCATACATGTCTGAGAAATCTAAGACATAGAAAACTGAAATAATATATCAGAGTTCACAACAGCATGTGGAAGAGCTGGCCTTTGAACCCATTTGGTCCAGCACCAAGCCCATCCGCTGACGTGCATGCTGTGTGTCTCATTCCCATTCAGTCAATCTTCTTAATTACCTGCCTCTGTGTTTTGCTTATACTTTTCCTCTTCTGGAATTCTTATTCTTCCCTTGGCCCAACCCTAGAAAACTTTCATTAGCTCAGTACTGTCCAGTACAGTAGCCACCGGCCACATGTAGCCATCGAGCACTTGCAGCGTGATTAGTGCAAAGGAGAAACCCAACACGCTAGCTTTTAATTAAATTCTAAGGCCACCTGTGGCAGTCATAATGGACAGCACAGCTCTGACCTTTCTGGGGTGTTTGCTTGGTACCATTAACCTTTTATTAGTGTCTGTGTCTCTCTGTCCAGGGGCCACATTAACCCATCTCTGTGACCCAATTCCTAGCTCATGTCTAGATTGGGTGGGTGATGAGTGTGTGATGGGTAAGTTGTCGTCTAGGGGTGGATTACCTGCACCCAAGACACCACCCTAAACCCTACCCTTGGGGCCATGTTACTGACATCAGTACAAACCCCACAAAATGGACTAGGAGCCACAAGACCTGGCTTCTTTCTACTCCCTCTGTGACCTGGGACAAGGAATGTACCCTTTCTGAACCTGTCTTCTCTCTCCAAGGGAGAAAGAAGAGGATAAAATGTAAACAGTAATATCTGGCTAAACATCCCATTTTGGAGACGGTAAACTGAGAAGATAAGTGTCCCATTTTGGAGATAGGCAAAGAGAAAGAGGTACAGTCGAAGGCTGTTAGAAGAGTCCAGTTCCTAAGTTCTTTTCCACCTGTGCTGTCAGTCTTTGTGAGCAGTGAAAGCGCTGTGTTCCAGCCACACCTGACTTCAGTGGACCCAAGTCCCAGCCTCAAACCCTCTCACCTCCATTCCTCGGTCAATGGCCACTTTGCCCAGCCTCACAGCAATGGGGGCCTGGAGAAGGAAACAGCATGGTTGAGGGAACCCATGATTGGAGGTCTGAATTCACAAGAGGTACCTAGCTCTGTTGCAAGAGAGGGAGAGGTCTGGTCTAGTTAACAAGTGTTAGTCCTACCTGTTAGTTGAGGTTCCTTTTCATAATGCAGAAACCCAGACTCTGATCCCTGATCTTCCCACTCCTGCCACCCTTCCAGTGTGTACAACATACTACACTTTACGGAGTGCTTCCCTACCCACCTTCCAGGCTGGTAACACTACTCCTCCGTTTTATAGATGTGAAATTGAGGCATAGGGAGGGGGAAGCATTTGGCCCTGTTTATCTAGTGAGTCGTTGGTGAGGCTTGAATTGGCTCCTACCCACCTTTTCCACTGCTGCTTCCTTCCTCTGCCTCCTCTAGCAAACGCCCCCTCCACTTATGTAGGCAGGCTTTGCCCCAGCAGAGTGACAAAAGTCGGTGTTAGGAACTTGAGCTTTCAAGTCTGACAGGGCTGGCAACCTTTTTTTTTTTTTTTTTTGAGTTGGAGTCTCACTCTGTCGCCCAGACTAGAGTGCAGTGGCTGCTCCCGCTCACTGCAGCCTCGACCTGCTGGGCTCCGGCCATCCTTCCGCCCCAGCCTTCCAAGTAACTGGAACTACAGATGCACGCTACCACACCTGGCTAATTTTTGATTTATTGTAGAGACGAGGTCTTGCCAAGTTGCCCAGGTGGGTCTCGAACCCGCCGGCTCAGGCAATTCACTCACCTCAGCCTCCCAAAGCGTGGGATTACAGGCTGAGCCACCAAGCCCGGCTGACTGGCAACATTTTAACACAGCCACGTGGCAGCAGCATCATCTTTGCTTTGTCACTGGTCTTGCTTCCACAGCAGCCCTGGCAGTCCAGCCTCAGCCCCAGCCCCACTTCCAGGCAAGGGATGCATTTACTTCCTATCTTACTCACATGGTATGATCTGAAGTGTTATAAGACTTTATCAGGCTGGGCGTGGTGGCTCATGCCTGTAATCCCATCACTCTGGAAGGCCAGAACTAGAGGATTGCTTGAGCCCAGGAGTTCGAGACCAACCTGAACCTTGTCTACAAAAAATGTTAAAAATGTTAGTTGGGCATGGTAGCACATACTTGTGGTCCCAGCTACTTGGGAGGCTGAAGTGGAAGGATCGCCTGGACCCAGGAAGTTGAGGCGATGGTAAGCCATAATCATGTCACTGCATTTCAACTTGGGTGCCAGAGTGAGACCTCATTTTTTAAAAAAAGGGCCAGGCACAGTCGCTCACGCCTGTAATCCCAGCACTTTGGGAGGCCAAGGTGAGAGGATTGCCTGCACTAGGGGTTCAAGACCAGCCTGGGCAACATGGCGAGACCTCACCTCTACAATAAATTTTAAAAATCCAGCCGAGTGTGGTGGCATGCATCTGTGGCTTCAGCTACTTGGACGTCTGAAGTGGAAAGATCACCTGAGCCTGGCAGGTTGAGGCTGTGGTGGCTGTGAGCATGGTATTGCACTCTGGCATGGGCAACAGAGTGAGACTCCAACTCAAAAAAAAAAAAAACCCACAGGTAAACCCGTTATTTAAAAGATAATGCCTGTGCACTGTTTAAGAGGGAAGTGTGAGTGTTAAAGATGCAGACCTCGTGGATACTGGCAATTTTTTCTGGGCTGAGTGAACTCTGGAACCATTTGACGCTCTACTCAGAGTGATTTGTCCACTAGATGGCGGTCACCTACACCATCCCTGGCACTCACCAGTCCTGGAACACAGCTGAGAGCCCAAGGTTTGTTTTTCAGATTGCCAGAAGGTCCCAGCTATGGGATTAATGACTCTAGTACTAGCTTTTGTTAGGCTAGAAAAAAAAAAAGTCCAGGCAACAGTACCAGACTCCATTTATATACGGTGAAACCTTTAAAAAAATGAACACAAAACAAATGCTGTCGTTTTGTTTGTTGCCCAGGCTGGAGTGCAGAGGCACACTCACGGCCATCACAGCCTCGACCTGCTGGGCTCAGGCGATCCTTCCACCTTAGCCTTCCAAGTAGCTGGAACTATAGGCATGTACCACCGCACCCAGCTAGTTTTTCTTGACTTATTGTAGAGATGAGGTCTCGCCAAGTTGCCCAAACTATGGGCTCAGGCGATCCAATCACCTCGGCCTCCCAAAGTGCTGGGATTATAGGCAAGTGAGACACTGCGCCCGGCCCAATTTTTTGATTTATTGTAGAGACAAGATCTTGCCACATTGTCCAGGCTGGTCTCAAACAGATGGGCTCAGGCAATCCTCTCCCCTCTGCCTCCCAAAGTTCTGGGATTACAGACATGAGCCAGTGTGCCTGGCCCAAATGCTGTCTTTTAAACCAAACTCACTATCAATTTTAGAAAATGTAGTCCCTGACCTCCAAATTAACGAGCTCAGTTAAAAGAAAGGGTAGAATTATTTAAATCTAAAGGATAGGGGAGGATTGTTTCCAAGATTAAATACTTTAAAATTTTTTCATAATTCAGTATCTTTTAGTACTAAAATGATACGTGGTTAACCTTTTTATAGGCTTATTTGTAACTTTGTAACATGTTTGTAAGCTTTTTGTATTTGAAATGTGTTAAATATTTAGTTTCTCAGTTTTTAAAATGCTGTATATATTATGCACTCTTAAAGTAACAGGGCAGGCATGGTGGCTTATACCTGCAATCCCAGTGATACTTTGTCTCTACAAAAAATTAAAAAATTAGCCAGGCGTGGTGTCATATGCCTGTAGTCCCAGCTACTTGGGTGGGAGGCTAAGATGGATGAAGTATGGCCTGAGCCTAGGAGGGCAAGGCTGTGGTGAACCATCATTGTGCGCCGTTGCATTCCAACCTGGGCAACAGAGTGAGAACCTGACTCAAAAAATAACAGGTTTTGTTTTTTGTTTTGAGTTGGGAGTCTCACTCTGATTGGAGTTCAGTGGCCGCTCCCGGCCACCGCAGCCTGGACCTGCTGGGCTCCAGCGATCCTTCCGCCTCAGCCTTCCAAGTAGCTGGAACTACAGGCGCGCGCTACCACGCCCGGCTAATTTTTTGATTTATTGTAGAGATGAGGTCTCACCAAGTTGCCCAGGCAGGTCTCGAACCCGCGGGCTCAGGCAATCCACTCACCTCAGCCTCCCAAAGCGCAGGATTACAGGCTGAGCCACTAAGCCCGGCTAAATACCAAGTTTTTATGTCTCATTCTGTATTGTACAAAATACATACTGAAATACTCGTGTATTTTTCTGATACTGCAGTCACTTTTTGTGAACTTGATCAGTAAGCAGGTTACTGAACCTTTCTGTGTCTGTTTTCTCACAAATAAAACGGGAATAATCAACTCACCTGGATTGTTCTAATAATTGAGACACTGTGTTAAGGTACCTAGCTAGAAGTGTGTCTGACAGATGAGAGATACTCTGTATAGGTTTTTTTTTTTTTTTTGAGTTGGAGTCTCTCTCGCTCTGTCGCCCAGACTGGAGTGCAGTGGCCGCTCCCGGCCACCGCAGCCTCGACCTGCTGGACTCCGGCGATCCTTCCGCCTCAGCCTTCCGAGTAGCTGGAATTACAGGCACGTGCTACCC